AGGTCTCTGTTCTTCACACCAAGCTTTTGGTACTTACAGCTTGCCTTGAGTTCCTACCATTGCCTTTTCTTTTTCGAAATCCAACCCTGCTGCTCCCTACCTACGCATGATAGGTTTAGCTGTTTGATAATGGGCTGTTTAGAGTACATAAATACTGCTGTTACATTATGCTTTGTGGCTATTCCCACATCATTCTGTATACTTTCCCAGCTTCAGTAATAATCTCCATGAAGGACGGGCTTCTGTTGGAATTCAGGGCTGAATGAAAAACTTTGGCAAAAGAGTCTATATTTTCCAGAACAGAAAATATTTTTTGTTATTAGTGTGCAGTGTTTAAAATTAGCTGGGTGTCAGTCACATTTTGCGACTGGCAACCGGCCTTTTTCAACTGGATGACGATGTGCAGGCTCCCCCCTAGGGGCCTAGCAGCTCCAACTGCCTGGCTGCAGTCACCTGGTCTGCCAGGCACAGAGGCAGCAAAAGACCTGTCTCTTTTGCTGCTGTGCTACCCTCCAGACCCCGGATTCACCCAGCAGGAATTTGTTTTTTTGTTTGTGTTTTTTTTCTGGGTTTTTTTTGCTGCTGGGTGAATCAGGTGTTTGGCAGGGTAGAGCGGTAGCAAAAGACATGTCTTTGGTGTCGTGCTACCCTGTAGACCCCCTGATTCATCCGCAGCATTTTATTATTTATTTTATTTTATTTTTTGCTGTGGGGATGCCCCCCCCAAAGGGTGACATCTACCACTGCCTAAATGTGAAGTTCAATCTCCCCAAAAAACTCTGTTCCGTTTTGAGAAGGCAAGCTTCTGCCTTTAGGGTTGCAAAGTTAACAGTATTTGAAAATGAATAGAAGAATTCTTCCATAGGTGGCTTTGGTGCCCTCCACCACCATCAAAACCAGAATTAATAGTATGTTTGCAACATAAATTAAGTAAAAGAAAGGAAACGATTTGCTTAATTTATACAAGTTGCAGAATCCAACCTTTTGGTGCAGAATTTGTGTTACCTGGGTGCAGAATTCCAGGGTTTTTTAGGGAAACGGGGAGTGCAATAACCTCACTTATATAGGATCAGATTAGTGGACTGTTGACACTTTCAAGTATCTCAACATTTGGCCTTTACTAGAGCTGCCCATAGAGATGCCAGAAAGAGAACCTAAGTCTCTATCTTATGCCTATAGTTTATGTGCTCTCTGCATTTGCTGTAGCAGGGCTTGGGCTGGTCTCTTGGAATGTAAGGGCAGCATCACAGCCGTTGTTCTCTTTGTTCCAGCCACAGATATTAGCTACTGGGCAAAGACATGGCAGGTGATTTATTCATTACATTTGGCATCACTTTAGTGAGCAGTTCCTGTGTCTATGGAATGGTTTGTTCTAGATGAAGTTGCATGTCCCTTGAAAGAGCAGTTGCATAGCTTGGAGGTCCTCCATGATCCAACACTGATACAGTGGTACCTCGGGATGCGAACGGAATCTGTACTGGAGCCCCGTTCGCATCCTGAAACGAACGCAACCTGCATGCGTGGGTCGTGTTTTGCCGCTTTCGCGCATGCACATGATGTCATTTTGACCATCTGCGCATGTGCGCGCGGCGAAACCTGCAAGTAACACGCTCCGTTACTTCCGGGTCACCATGGAGTGCAACCCGAAAATACTTAACTTGAAGCACATTTATCCCGAAGTATGACTGTACTGGAGGCACATTTCCCCCTCCTAGACTGGGAGAGCTTGCCAATTGTGATCCATGCTCTTGTAACCTCAAGGTTGGACTACCATAATGTGCTCTACACGAGGCTACCCTTGATAGTGGTTCAGAG